GCTCATGAATAAATAATCTCCTGCATCTGAATCCCCGCCCCCGGCTCCGCCCCTCAGTGCTCAGTCTCTGCCTGGTTTGACTGCTGCGTGTGGCTGTCTGCGTGTGTTTGAGTGTTTCTTTGGTTTTGCTGAAGTGTCCGTGATGTTGACTCATGATCCTGCATCATCAGTGAATGTGTGTTTATTTCCTGATACTGCATCCTCAGTTAATCCACCTCGATTGACTCGCTGCTCTCGCTGATGGGTTTACACTCGTTGGGCATCCGCTGGTGTCGACTGAGCTGAGTTGCCTGAGTGAAGCTGCGCTCGCACCGCTCACACCTGCACACACACACAGAGAAAGAGAGAGAGAGAGAGAGAGAGAGAGAGATATTATTATTATCGTTTTGGGCTCCTCCTCCTTTTTACACAATCCTTCATACACACACACAATATTTTTCTGTCCATTTTTTGATATTTATTTTAATTTAACCTCTTATATATATACACGCACACACTGTGAAACCCAAAAAGTTAAGATTACTCAAACCGTTTCAGGAAACTGACTGCAAAAAAACATTTAGGTTGAAAAACTAATCTATATAAGTACTGTGAACTTACTCCATTTAAGTTGAAGCGATGATGTATTTAATAACTCATTACCTTCAACACTAGGTTCAAAACTCTTTTCAAATGAGTAGAAATAACTTCCAGTCAATTTTGAGTTACCTACACTCATTTTAACCGATAGAGTTGACTGCTGGGCTTTACAGTCTATATATGTGAAACCCAATAAGTTAAGGTAACTCAAACCATTTGAGGAAACCCATCGCAAAAAACATTTCGGTTCAAAAACTAATCTGAGTGAGTACTGTTACCTTAATCCATTTAAGTAAAAGAAACAACACTGTAAAAAATAAATCCGTAAAATTTACGGTAAAAAACGGCAGCTGTGATTGCCAGTACTTTCCCGTTAAAAAGACGGTACAAATCGTAAAAGTAATTTCTCATTTTTACGGTAAATTACCGTATTTTATTAATTTATAGAGGTAATATGTCTGTATTTTGAATGATCAACATCTACACATCTTTTGTTACACAGTTAGACACGTTAGCACATCCACATGCAGGTGGTGATCATAGATATATACACTAGATATCACATAGGGACCCTGAGCATGCGTCAATAGCGCCGCCATATTTGTACAGTGACCCAGGACAAATGTCATTCAAGCGCACTAGTCAAGACAGTGTTATTACGTGAAGATGCGGGACTTTAGCGCTGTCTACGGGTGTAGTAACGAGCAAACAGAAAACAAAGCACAAAGGCAGAACATTTCATAGGTAAGATTCAGTTTTTTCTGTTTGTGTATGTTCTGAACTTTTGTGCTAATCAGGTAACGTTATTGATGATAACAGTCACTTACTGCATTCACCATACGGCAAAGCAGCTCCAACTCGCACTAAACACTCGGCTTATGCTAGTTTTGTTGAATAAAATCAGCAAACAATGCAGGAGAAATATGACAACGAGATGCTGTGCTGCCAGAAACTTGTGTTATTGTGGGCTAACGTTAGTGAAAGAGTCGTTCGGGGGATTCATTCACAAGTGAATCGCTCCCTCCGTCAGTATGAGGAGTGAAAGCAGGAGAGGAGCTGTGTTTCAGGACACGGATTAGATCAAATTTAACAGGGAGGGTGAATAGTACATTTCTGTACACACAAACACAAGCTTTTTGTCAGGAATGCCCGTGCGGTCACTGATCCATCAATGTAGAAAAGTGATGCCAAATTATAATTTTCGTAATTAGAAAAACATTACACACTAACATCCAGGAAAACTCCTGATCATAGATATATGTGTATATGTGTATATCTCTGGCTTTGGATGGCCACAGTCCTCCACTGTACCTTGGTCCCACATTCATTTCAAAGGAGCGCTACCCTGTAGCAAGATGGCGGCGCTATTGACGCATTCCGTACAATAGACAACAATAGGCCAGGCGACATCTAATGTATATATCTATGGGTGGTGATGAGGAAGTTACAAAATGAGCCAATGCTTATCACAATCAACTTTTCCCACAAGCAGAAAAGACTATCGGCATATAGAATGTGCTCAGTGTCTTCCACACAGCTACTGGTAACACGCAAAAAACTAAAGTAATGAAATAAATATTGTTTATCAACATTAGATGTAACATAAATCTATAATGTACATAACTGATGGGGAAAAAGATCTATATTAACGTCAAAAAAATGCATAAAAAGTTATGTGCCATGCAGGGAATTCTGGTAAAGTCAATTTACGGTTATTAAGGAAACATACCGTTAACCAGGTTACGGATTTGTACTGTAGTATTTTTACAATTTTTACCGTTGAAATCAAGGCCATTTTTACAGTGAATTTAAACACAGTAAAACCTGATAGATGAACTCAAACCAACTGAGTACTGTACAACCCAATAGGCTAATGCAACTCAAACCGTTTAAGTTTAAAAAAAAAACTATTCTATATGAGTACTGTGAACTCACTCCATTTAAGTTATGAGTAATGAGGTATTTACACTGTAAAAAGTGATTAGTCTTTTAAAGCGAGTAAACCAATTGCCTTAAAAGCAACTAGATGACTTTACAATAATAATGTAAGTAATAATAATAATTCCGTATATTTAGGCTGCTTTCACACCTAGACTTTTGTTTTGGACCCTGTCTCGTTTGCCCAGTTAGCACGGTTCGTTTGGCATATGTGAAACCACCAATCGCGCTCGGATCAGCGCCAAATGAATGTGGTGGTCTCGGCTCGATTGAAACGAACTCTGGAGCGGATTGATTGCAGTGAGAAAGTAATAGGATCCGAGCCCGGTTATATCAGTGTTTTATGCATATGTAATAGGCGAAGAGAAAGTTATGAGCAGTTATTTCTCATCAGAAAGACGGCGCTTAGAGCAGTATTGAGTCCCCGTCACTATACTGGGGCATTAGGACCCAGACAGACAGGTTGAGCGCCCCCTTCTGACCTTACTAACACCACTTCCAATAGTAACCTAGCCTTCCCATGTGGTCTCCCATTCAGGTACTGACCGGGCGCAGCCCTGCTTAGCTTCAGTGGGCGACTATGTGAGAGTTGCAGTTAGCGACCTGCCGGCCTAACCCATTGTAACTTGAAACTGTCAAGTTGACTGAATTTTTATAATTATTCTAATTGTACTCACTTTTTAAAATAAAAGTAAACACTTCTCCAATACACATTTATCATATATGTTTTTAAGCTTTTCTGTATCTATCACAATGACCTTAATTAAAATATATCTGCTCTTCCAGACCACAGTGTGTCCTTTAAATTCAATACAGGCTTTTATAGACTTTATGACGCACCAAATATGTAATATTGTGATAATTACAGTAATTATTTGAAAACAGGTGTGCAAAAAATTGAAGGGACTAGTTGACTTTAAAAAGGTGAGTACAATTAGCATAATCATGAAAATTAAGTTGACTTAACAGTTTCAAGTTACAATGGGTTTACTTACATTATTATTGTGAAGTCAACTTATTGCTTTTCAGGCAATTGCTTTACTCGCCCATCCTATACAATCCTCAAAACAGTCATGTAGCGGTGCGTGACTGTCAGCTGACGCGCTCCATAGTGATAAACAGACGCTGTTTCCCAAACGGATTCTGTACTCGCTATTTGAAGCGGAGAGAAAGTCTGGCCTTTGGGTGCGTGTTTAAACAGACATACACACACAATTAATAATAACAACATATAAGGATGTCGATCTTGGTGTTTTTTTTTTTTTTCCCAAACACAACTAATTTCGTCTTTAATGACCAGGCCATATCCTGAGCTGCTGCTGCGCTGATGGTCATGGGGAGTGGAGAACATGAGTCTGATTCCAGCGACGCTCCAGGGACAGACGAGTCTTCGCTGAGGCCATCTTCCAGCCTCCACCGCGGTGACTGAATCTCTGCACAAGACTTTTGGCCAGCGGAGAAATTAAAATGGTCGTGCCCAACTGAGTCTGGTTCCCTCTAGGTTTTTTTTCTTCACTCCCATCAGGTGAAGTTTTTTTTCTTTTTTTCCCTCTCCGCTGTCGCCACTGCCTCGCATGGTTCAGGATTGGTAGAGCTACGCATCGATGAATTTGCTCTTCAGTGTTTGAACTCTCAGTAGTGATTATTAAATCACACTGAACTGAGCTGAACTGAACTGAACTTAAACACTAAAAACTGAACTACACTGTTCCAGTTACTATGACTATTTATGTGAAGCTGCTTTGACACAATCTACATTGTAAAAGCGCTATACAAATAAAGCTGAATTGAATTGAATTGAATTGAATTGAATTGAATTAAATGAGCATAAAAAGTCAGGAAAGCAGTCGAATGCTTTCATTTCAACATTAGATG